TGTTTAAGGACTATAGACACAATAATTTATACATAGATTATAGAAGAAGCAACTCACATATAATAAATATGTTAATGCAAATGTATAAAAACAAATTCAGGATTAAAGATTTTTTATGTCCTTTTTCTTTGAAAATAAGAAAAAACATGAAAATTCTTTGAAAGGATGAATGAAATTTTTAAATATAACAAATGGTTATTTTGGAAAAAAAGAAATTTAAATGAAATCCTTTTGAAATTTTTTCAAAAACTTTTATTCGGAACAATAAAAATAAAATTTTATTGTATAATTTCTGGTCAATTTTATTACAATTTTATTTTTATTATTTTTTTATATAATATAGTGCAATCCTTTTTTCGAGTGCTAGAGTTGGCATTAAGATTTGATTTAATAGTTGAAAATTGTTAAAAAACTTTGAAATTTTATGAGGTTAGAAATTTATTTTGCGGTTCTTTTTATTTATATACACTCTATATAATTTACATATTAAAAAATAAATTAATTGTCTATAAATTTCTGAGTATTCAGACATTTTATATGTTAGAGAATATAAGACATTGGTTTACTCGTGTGTGTGTATTGAAGTTTAATATTATTACCAATTTAATTCAGCTTTGTTTTTTTACTTCGCATATATAGTGAAATAAATTTGGTTAAGCTGATCTGCAATAGAAATTTTCGAAAATGTAATGAAAAATTCGGACCTGAGTCAAATAATCTATTCTTATATCTGAATTTCGTATGCTTATATAGAAGGAAGTTACGTTGTAGAACATATCGGCTACCAAGCTTTATAATATGCTGCCAAATTTATAATATGCTGCCGATAATATAGGCAAAAATCAGTAGTAACACATTGAAATTTAATTTTTGTCTGATGCTAAGTTTAGTTAGAAATGATTGTATTCAAATTTGCATTCTCCTAATTTCACCTTTTTTACTATTACGTTCAAAACTTGCTCGTCAATATTGGAAATATTTTCTAATTACAAACAAAATTTTTATTGTGACCCTAAAAATTTATATTTTTAAAGTGCCAAATTTTTTTTTCTTTTCTCTATAATTTTTCTCGCCGCAATTCACTTTATAAAATCATCTATAGAACGTAGTCCTTATGCTACTCTATAAAATTAAAACAAAAAGCAATCAAATCCAATAATCACACCACACTGCAATGCACAAAAAAAAAATAATTTTTTTTATGTTTTGTTTTAACAGAACAGTTAAAATAGAAAAAAAAGTTACCTCCAGCTGAGCAAACACAATCCCCTGCAAAAAATAAATACCAATAATTATCGTCCTTTCTTCTGCTACAATTAAAAACAAAGAAAAAAAATAAAGGATTGGAACGCATACACACACATATACGCCCATATTCTACACTAAACATAATGAAATACAATATATTGTACCCCGGAGACAAAATTGTTGTAACTCCAAAAATTTTATTTTTCAGATTTCGATTGGAAAGTGTAAATTATGACATGTTACGTTGAGTATTTGAAGAGATTTAAGCTAAACGAAAGATCAATATTAGAATAACCGCGTTCGTCACCACAAGCAATCATATAATTTCAGTTTTATACAAACCATATATCTTTTGAGCAAATTTCAGTATAATTTCGCATCCTGTAGAAATAAATGAGAATTTAAATGAATGAAGAGAACGTAAATGAGTGAGCCCTTAAACTACCGTAACTGACTTTAAAAAGAATTTCTCTGAAAAGTACCTTTTTTGAATTACGACGATGTAAGAATAGTTGCTTCACATGCAAAAACGGAAGCAAAATAGAAAAAATATTTATTTAAAAAAAAAAATTGAAAATTATTATTTTCCATTAATATTTTCTCCTTTGTACTTTTGAAAACATTTTCATAATAATAAAAATAATAATTCATACTTGTGTACGAGCACAAAATCTTTATGATATTAAAGCCATTTTGTACACATTCAACTTGAAATTCGATTGAAAAATTTTTCTCTTATACGAAGTCTACTACATATTTATTTTTTACTTGTAAAATATAAAAAACGATTTTTTTCCCCCAGTCAAGCGCAATCAACAACAAAAACAACAAAAAATAGAAAAAAATTCTTACTGTAATTGCAGCTTATAATTACATTAATTTAATATCCTTAAAAGGGAGTTAAAATCTACACAGCTGAAAAAAAAACTGCTATTCCTGAATTATAATTCATTCCTGATATCCTTTTTCTCTGTAATTTTTTTTTCTGATTTATTTTTTCTGGAATGTGAATTGTAATAGAAAAAAATTAAAGTTGAATTCCTTGTTTTTTCACTTAAAAACTTTTCATTTTTTTATTTTTCCTTCGAACTACATATTTCAATGTTCATGTCACGTATCTACTCAGAACTTACAGAGTAAAAAAAATTCTTGATCAATCGCACAATAATTTGGGAATAAAAATTGAAAATTCTTACTTTAATTCTTGAATAATTCGAATGAGTTCTTGGTATTTTCCTTTGTGTTCCCTTAAATCCTTCTCTCTTTCTTTTAGGAAAAAAATACCTGGAAATTTTGAGTTTTTGGAACTTTCGATTTTTAAAATTATATTTACGCTTTTTTTCTGAAGCAACTGGGTTAAAATAATTTTATTTCATTTATTTTATTCATTGTATTCATTTTAGGCTTTACGATGTAGTCAGAATTCAAAATATACAAAAAAAAAAAATCCGCCAAAAAGTATGCAAAAAAATTTAAAAGACAATATTTTTTTCTCCCTCTTTTATAAATTGCAAACGTATATAAGTGTGTCTGCAAGCCTAACATTGCATATAAGGAAATATTGAAATCAAAAAAGAAAAAGCATAAAAATTGAAGTTCGGCGGCAATTTTCTTATATTTTGTTCGGTTTTTCTTCTTTTCTGATTTTCCTTATGGTTATTTTGCATATTATTGAAACGCTCATGATTTTTTCCTGTCACGAAATATTTGAATATTTTATTTGAATATCTTTTTTGTAGTCTCCTGTAGAATTTTCCTATTTTCTCTTTTCTTTTTGTGTTAATTTTTCTTTCCGGGTATAAGTAACTCCTGACAAAATTCATGATTAAATTATTTAATAAAAGGTATATAGAAAAAAGGATACACAAAATAGGGGATGAATGTATTTATACTTATAAAGGTACACATGGAAGCATTGAAATCATAAAGGTATCTAAACAGAAAAAAGAAAAAAACGGAACTGAATACGTATAAACATGTGAGCAACGACGATATACGAACGCGTACAAACGAGTATACTAAGGTAGGGTAGTTGTGAAACTTAAGAACTTACAAAATCTGAGGATTTATATTGGATCAAAACTATATAAAAAGGATTTTAGACATCAAATGTCGCTGTAAAAATTTTCCTCATATAATCGGAATAGGAAAAATTTGAAAAATGGGAGCTATATGTCAAAATAAATACAAAATTACACATAAAGGACAATAAATACTTTAAAAAATTGGGCAGAACTGTCACAATAAACAGAAAATTATAGGCTCATGAATTTATTTTGATTAGTTCGAAAATTAACGAATTTTTTTAATTGTAAAGACATATAAAATTTGCTCTGATTTAAAAAAAAGGAAATGCCACCAAACTTTCACCAAACAAAACTCATGAAGTAATGGTTGACGTCTAATCCCTGCCTAAAAAATTGTACTCGCCACATGAACTTTTACAAAATCTAATAACAATGTCATAACAAATTTGATGTCAAACGCAATGCTACTGAGTTCATAAGTGCATCAAAGTTTTGCCGAATCAAAGAAAAGGTTCGAACAATATTTGACATATAAATGTTGTAAAAAAATTAATAATTTCTACAAAAACAATTTAAATCTATACATTCAAGTGGTTAGTCAGATAATACGATTAGTTCCGAACAATAATATAATATTTTCCGAATGAAATCCGAATTAATTTATTTTTCACAATTACCCTGTATGATGCAAATATATAGAAATAAATTTGATTAAAACATGTTACATGTTATTTCTAAGACACCGTGGTTGTCGTCGTCGTCTTCATCGTTTTATTGCGTGTGGAGTCATAAAGTCTTACAGACATTTATAATTATATACCACAAAGTTATGCTACTTATACAGTTATTTTGCACAAAAAAAAATCTACAAAACAATCGTATATACAGACAGGTATTGTTTTGGTTTTGGTTAAATTAAAGATAGGGGGAAACGTTAAAAAGTTTGATTTTTCTATATTGATTGTCATGAGATTATGTTATTAAATGAATTTACTTTTGTCAACTTATTATTTACAAGAAGAAGGAGGAGGAGAAGGCGACAGAAAGAGGAAGAAGAGGAGTTGGAGGAGAATATTTTTTTTTTATAATTTCGCTATGAATAAATTATAATTAAGAATTTTATACTATTAAAAAGGGTTTCATTTATTCTTTAAATCACGTTGTTGTCAGAATTAAATAAGGAAAGAAAAATTTATGATATTAAAGCTTTGTACATTATCTTTTGGTTAATTATAGGTATGAATAGTTAATTGTAATTTTAAATAATTGTTTCCAAAATTGTATAGCGTATTATAATCAACCAGCTGAACCTATTGAGAAATTAAAAATGATTAAATTTTAAAATAACTAGTAAGAGCAAAATTTTTGCATATATATGTATATATATTCGTACGTAATTTTCTTGAAACAATATATTTATTGAGAACAATCAAGTTTGAATGTTTTCGAACAGTGTGTTACATCAAACTTAGTTTGATGAAAAAAGTCAAAAAAAGGAACGCCACACAATTGTTAACAAATTTCGTGCTGATCAATATGTCAAAAACTCTCTTTTTTTCGTTGACAATTGTGACAATTTGTTGTAAATGTCATTTAAATGTCATCCACATTCTTGCTATTAAATATTTAGTCAAAATTTTATGGTAATTAATTTTTAAAATTATTTTTATTAAATTTCATTTTTAAATTAAATTTTCTTATAATTTTTAAATTTTTTTTTCAGAATGTTGACCATAAAATGCGTTTCCGTTCCAAAAAAGGCCAATTACCATTTATTGAATTAAATGGTGAGGAAATTGCCGATTCAGCGATAATTATTAAAGAATTATCAAGTAGATATGAAAAGGATTTGGATGCTGCTTTAACATTGGAACAACGTAATGTATCGTATGCAATGATATCGATGCTTGAAAATCATTTAATTTGGATAATATTTTGGTGGCGTACCAAATATCCTGATTCAATTATTAAAGGATACAAAGTTAATTTACAACATGCTTTGGGCTTAAGAATTCCGAATTCAATTTTAAATTTCTTCTTTAAAATGGCATTTGCTAGAAAGGTATGTAAAAATATTTAAAAAAAGGATGAAGAATCTTTTGTTTAAAAAAAAGAAAATTGGTCGAAAATCTCAAACTTTAATTATTGAACATGAAGGTCTGTAATTGTAGATGTCAAATTGTAGCTTGTTATTCAACAAACTTGTTGAAACTTAGTTGAATTTTGAGAGATTTTGTCAAAAAACTAAATAAAAGTTTAAAATTAAAGAAAAATTATTTTATAAAATTCAAATAATTGTTGACTTTTCCCAGTTTGTTAATTAAAAGTTTGAGATTAAAAATAAAACCATTTTTTTTATAAAAATAAAGATCTTTATATTAGAGATTTTGCAATGAGAAGGTATGAGAATAGAAAAAAAGTTTTTTTGAAATAGTTTTTTTTTTCTACTATCTTTAATTATAGTATTTTGCGACAAGAACATTTCCCAGCCCTTTTTTTTCGTTTAATATGCGCTACAAAATCTGCTTTAACTAATTGTGTCAAATAATACATTTGACACATATCAACTGTAAACTTGCAATAAATTCCACTATATATAAAATTCTAACAAATTTACATAGTTTCACATACCGGGTTTTATTGCTGAAGATGCTTTCAAACTTACCTCTCATACATGTTTGTATATGCAAACGATAAAAATTCATCCTAATAGTAATTTGACATTCTTCATTATTTTTTTCACAATATCGTAATTTCACTCCCAACACTCAATCATTCTTCAATCTTAAAATAAAAAACACTTACATACGTACTCTGAGTTGCAGCGCTTCAAGGTGCTGAACTTAACTTGTCATACATGTCGACTAAATTTACCTGCATATTTAGCAATTTCAAAAGACAGTTCGTTTTCAATAAACAAAAAATAATTTTAAATTCCAATTGAAAAAAGAACATGGGAAATGTTTCTTGAGAGTAATGTAGTAACCTTTTTCTTAAAAAATTAGACAGTAATTTTTGTAAATAAATTTAGTTGAGTTTTAATTAAAATTGCTTACCACTCAAAAATTTTGATCAAAAACTTTTTAACACGCTAAACACAATGAAAAGATTTGCCGCTTTAAAATAGCGAGAAGTTATTTTTAGAGCTACTGCTAAATGCGTGAACCGTTGCAGTTGTCACACGTCAATTTCGGAAATTTTCGTATAAAACAAATCGACAATTTTTCGAACACAATTTTCTTTTTTATTTACAACATAGTCCTCAGCGTAATCCTGTAGAATTTTTGACAGGTGACAGCTTCAAAACAAAATTTTATAATTTCTATTATTGTGTTACCGTGTTGATAAAATTTTTGATTTTTAATTTTTTATAAACGTCAAGCAAAATATAAAAAAAAAATATTTAAAACGGTTATTTATTTTTTTTTAATATAAAATTTGAAGTAACATTGTTAGAGTAATAAAAACAAAAATCTCTATATAAAAATATAAATTGTTTGAAAGTTTTGTTTTAACATTAATTTAGACAATTTTGTACCTAACCATAAAAAAATTTTTATATTTAAAAAAATAATAATTTTTTTAATTTTGTTCAGCTGGAGTTCTTGTTTTTTTTTTGGCATGATTGTTTAAGAGTTCACATTTAATTGAAAGTTTGTTTTGATTAACTGTGCAAAATTTTTATCAAATTTACCGAAAAGAAAATATAAAATTAAATAATTTTTTTGCATGAATTTTAAAAACTAAAAATTATTTTGTTAAAATCAAGCAAATTAAACCAAAATTTAATTGCATGATTATGTTTGATTATTCTCTTTTTGACATACAAAAGAATAATGTTATAAAATTTTATTGTCAAAAACATTTCATTGAATCATTCACAACTCCCTCATTCATTCACAATAACATTTTTAATCATGTCAAATTCATTTGAACAATAATCATTTAAAAAAAATTTAAAATTATAGGAATGTCAATTTTGACAATTGTTTGTAATAGAAAATGTCAGTTTACAGTAAATTTTTTCCTTTCAAATTTCATTATAATTAATAATGAATTGCATTCGAGTTTTAAATTTCTTGTTCTTCATTTAATCGTAATATATTAGCATATTAGCATAAAATGACGTCAGAATAAAAAGATGTAAAATTTTAGGTTATTTTACCGACGTCAGCTAAATTCGCGGTGGTAATTTCAGATAATTCTGCAGGACAGCCCTGTTTGTGTGTGTGTATTCTATATGAAATTTGACATTTTACCACGGAAATCGCTCCTGTTTGGGTTCCGCCATTTAACTTGGGTTTTTACAGTTAAATACATTTGCTAGATGCCAGATCTTTAGAAATTTTTCCTACAATTTTTAATGTATAAAATTTTTATTTCTATTCAAAAAATTTCCAAATTGGACGTGTTCATATTTCATGGGCCCTTTTTGTAAAAAAAATATTTTATAATTATTATTACTTGAATATTTTCATAATCAATATACTTGAATTTTTTTATAATTTTACTAGCAAACCTCTGAACTTTATTGCTAATTCAATTAACTTTAACTTGCAATATGCTTTCAATTACAAAGTACCTATGCATTTTACTATTGCATTACTCATTAACGTAATTTACATACCTATACACTTATCTATAAATAATTTAAAGAAATCAAATTTTTATAGTTGTACGTGCATAGATAAAAAAAATTATTTTAAATAACATTATTATGAAAGCATAAAAAAAGAGAAAAAAAAATTTAAAAATATTTGCCACATATAAAAAAAAATTAAAATGAAAATGTCATTTCCGAAAAACATAAATTATTAGCACAACAATATAACAGCATTTTGTTAATTTTTTCTTTCTCTATTTCTACCATTTTCATCGGCGACCCATCAACGGTATCAATATAGTTTTAGGTTAATAAACTTTTGCATATACATAAACCATAAATACGCAATTAAAATATCCAATTTGTTTTTTGTAACACAAGCACTGCTCGAAATTTGTTCTTCCTTTTTATTTTTTGAATTTTACATTTTCACTTAAGCCAAACACTTCCTCTCTCCTATTTAGAGTCAAAGAAAAAAAAAACAAACAGCACCTAAAAAAGAACGAAAAAGAATAAAAACAAATATACTGGCAACATTTTTTTTACCACCTATTTCTATTAAATTTTTTTTTTCTTTGCTTTTTACCTGTTGCCTCAGATTGAGTTTCCATATCGCGACAAAATATAAGTGCCTATATGTACATAAATATTCATAAATATTTTTACCTTATATTTGAATTATTACGTTCAATATTAAATTTTTATAATTGTTATAAGGTTCCCATACAAAAGAATGAATGTGTGCAGAGGAAAAAGAAAAACAATTCGTGGTCGTTAACCATCAATCTAATTTTGAATCTAAATTAATACAAAATACTTGAAATGTATAGTCATCGGCATTATAAATTGAAAACGTAAACAAAAAAGGCACTTAACGATATTCGGTTGCCGCTTTTTCGTATGTCAAAAAAGTTCAGTTTCGGGAAACTTATTCTGAAATTTAAAAGGAGACCGAACAAAAATTACCATCCAACTTAAAAAACAAATAGAATTTTAATAATTTGACATTTATTCTGTGTGGTGTGACAACAATTATACTTCAAAAGTACAACTGTGGTCAATATCTACTGTCAAAACTCTACTGTATTGTAGAGCTAATTTAATTGATTTTGAAAATTTGACAACAGATGGTACGTCAAGTATGTAATCTGAAATAAAAACTTCAAACTTGTTGAGTTAGCACAATTTTAGCAGTGGTGTTATTTTTTCAGTCGTGTACTAGTATGTACATATCATATGTGTATTGCAAAAACATAATAACTCAAAAGAATTGATTTCGAGAAAATTTTTTCCGAATAAACTTTTTCAGGTTCAAAAAAATATTTTTGCATCTGAAAAATTGAATTTATTGAGCTAGTACTAATTAAAAACATTTTCCATAACTATAATAACAAATCAGTGTACTATAAAACGACTTGATAATCAAAAATATGCAATTTAATTAATTGAAGTTTTATTTGTGGTAAATTAAATAAAAGCAAAACCGTTGCTAAAAAACAAAATTTATTTTTGAAAACATCGAAATACCAATGCGATATACAAATATAAAATAAGAATTATATGCATATGAATAAATAGAAAAGGCGGTAACACCTGCAATTTTTCATATTACACCTTTAAATTGTATACACGAGTGATTAATGACTATAACCTCAATTTTTTTTTTGATTGCGCTGCATTTTTATTGTTATTTCTTTTCATATCTATTTTGTCTTTTCGATTGTAAATGATTCGATTCGACTCTAACTAACTACATTATTATTAGTTTGAATGCAATTCATGATTTTAGAAAGAGAAAGGCAATATTTAACAATGTTTGTTTTCTTTGTTTTCAAAAGTTGATTTAAAAAAACAAAAAAAAATATAAGTAAACTAGAAATATAATAATTGCAATGCAATAATATTTGAAATTAATATTTTCATAATGAAAAATTAAAAAAGTATAATTAGTAGAAAAATAATATAAAATGAGTATGAATGTTTGTATAACAATAATAATAATAAATAATTAATTTAAATCAAATGAATTTTAAATTTTCTATTTTGATTAACTGGAACTGATTTCATTTTACTCTTCTTAATTTTAAAATTATTTTGAGGTTAAGTACAATATGAAAAGTTTCTTACTACTAGAAAATAATAACGTTTGTATCTTCTTAAACTAGTTGAAATTCCCACAATAACGACTTTTACCCTGTGGCCCAAAACATGAAGTTATCACCTCCAAAATTTATTATTGTAGAAATCTGTTTCTCATTACGTAAGCCATGCCAACAATAATTACTTCCATCTGGTCGATCAAAATTCAACTTTTTTCATCTGAAAACATTACAAGCACAAGATAGTTCGGGTAAGCGTTGGTGTTTTGCCAATTTTAATTGATTATTTTACGACAAAATTTGTTTATGGGAAGCTTCAAATTAACCACTTTTGTACTTGAATAACGTGAGCCATAGTTTTTCATTCAAAATTAATATATTTCGTACAGCTTATATAGACTAGTCAAGTTTCGAACCAATTTTATGATTGGATAACTTTATAAGTCTTTATTACCTTTACCTATTGTCAATAATTAGAATTATTTAGCTAATCTGATTAGTTAAGTTTGCAACCAGTTGACATTCTAAATTAAAAATCTATAACTAAAAATAAATTTAATATTACAAAAATGAAATCGTGAGTAATTTTTTTTAATAAACTTTCAACGAAATAACTGTAACAAAATTTTGCACCTGTAAAATATACACACATACATACATTCTATATGCATTCAAATTTAAAATATTTTTAATAAACTTAAATCAGTTGCTATACATCAGGATATTCAAAATTAAAAAAAAAATAAAATTACTAGGTTTTACGAGTATAATAATTTTTTTTTAATTAAAATTGCAGTTCATGCAGGGGTTAATTGGAACTTAAGGCAAAAAAAAAAAAAAAACAGGTTTTTTATTGCAAAATTGCAAGATTTTTTTGATAAAATCGAAATTTGTCTGCAAAAATAAAAAATAATAATAAAATTATCTCTTTTGTTATATCACAAAAAAAAATTATAGTTTTCACCGTAATGCAATTTAAAATTTCAACTCTCTTGAATTAAGCACACACATACATGGTATAAAATCATAATAAAATCTCACATATCGCAAAGAAAAAAAATATCATGCAACTTGCAACTTGATACAAGTAGTAATAAATGTACAGTTACTGAGATTAACAATTTTTTTTTCTCTCTTGTTCAAAGAGAATTTTGTTATAATTTCCTGCATGTTTAATCCAGTACAAAATTTACTAGTGCAACATTTTCTTCACTATGAGAGTTTCTACTCAATTTTAATTAACACTGAAAGGTAGGAAAATTGAATATTTTTCTCAATATTGCCAGCATAATAGGATTTTATTTTAATTAAATTGTTGGCAATCAAAAATTTGGGCGTCAAAAATTTGGAATAATTTATTCAAATTTAAAAAAAGAGTCTGAATTTATTAAAATAAAATTGACACAAGTACGGTTGTATTCGAAATTAAAAACGAAATTCTAAATATAAAAATGTGCTGAACAAAATTAATCAAAATTTTTTTATTAATAAATTAGAAAATTTTGTTGGATCATTTGAAATCATAAAACATTAATTTTATTTTTTCAATTTGATTATAATTTAAAAAATTTATTTTTTTTTTTTGTTGAAAATTTTTGCATTTTTATTATTGTTATTATTATTATTAGATTATTAATTCATTTCTCATTTTTTATATTTTCCCTGTTTGCTATTTTCCAATCCTAATTTATAAAAAAAAATACAAAAAAAAAATAAACACTTTCATTCTTCCATTTTGTAAATTTTATAATCACTTTAAATCCTTGTAAATATCCTTAACAAAAAAAACATAAAAAAAAAACATTTTTTTTTTAAATTTGACTTTGGTTTTTGCATCCTACTCTCGTAATTTCTTTTTCACCTACTTATAAAATATGTTTTGGATGATGTTTCTTTTAACTAAAAACTAAAACTAAAAAAAAAAAAAACTATAAAAAAACAAAAAAAAAAAAAATTGGATACTGATGCAAACAGTGGTTCCAGGGTTCCAAAAAAGTTAAAGCTCATGGTATTGGAGTTCATACACCACAAGAAATTGAAGAATTTGGTAAACATGACTTAAAAGTCTTAAGCGATATGTTGGCGTATAAACCATTCTTCTTTGGTGATGAACCAACTACATTGGATGTTGTTGCATTTGCCGTCCTATCGCAATTACATTTCTTGGCAAAAGAATGTAATTATCCATTACGAGATTTTATGACCGAAAAGTGTCCAAATCTTGTTGGTCATGTATCAAGAATGAAGGAAAGATGTTTCCCAGATTGGGATGAAATTTGCACTAAATTGGATTTGAATGCTCATTTACCAAAACCAGAGTAAGTATAAAAAAAAATTTTTATTATTATTTGAACACTTAATTTTTTTGATAAAAAATCTTATTTAAAAACATTTTTTTTTTATTTTTAATTTTTTAGACCGGAAGCAAAAGAAGGTAAAGAAGGCGATGCGGAAAAATCTGTGGAGCAGGATAATAACGACACAGAAAAAATTGAAAAAGAATTAGAAAAAGATAAGGTAAAAAAAAACAATTAATTTTCGATGTCACTAAGAGTTATTGATTCTGACAAACAGATGTTTGATATCGTACGTGTCTTGTTAGTTGTTTTTGTCAGACACTTGCACTGCTACTGCAGCCTTGAACTAATCTTGCTTGGTGGCCTCAAGGATGATATACGACAGTTGTAATAGTCTTAATAAGTTAGGCAGGCGTCACCGAATTACATTTTACTGGCCCTATAATACACAAACTATCCCGTCCAATCCGAATGTCTAATCTCCTTTGAACTTTATGCATATATGATTACAATGCAATATTTTAATACTATATTGTACCCCAATTATCCATTGTTTATAAGATTCGATAAGTGGCATTGAAATTTCTTTTTAGAATATATATATATGTATATATATATATACATATATATATAATCATAATTTATTTATGAATATTTAAAAACTTAATTTTTATTTATTTCTTACAACAATTTTTTTATTTGTACTTTTAGTCTGACGAAAAAGAAACAGAGGAAAATAAGGAGAAGGAGGAGGCTAAATAAATAAAGCTTGAAGCATCGTTGTGCATAAAAAATTAAAAAAAAAATCATATTATACTTATATTTTTAAATAATATAAAAATTATTAAAAAAAAAAACAAAAAAAAAAAAAAACAAAATTTATAATATTAAAAATTCAGATAACACAAAACAACAAAAAAAAAATTAAAATAATTCTTACATTCTACAAAAAAAATACAACAAAATTTCAACAAAGAAAAAAAAAACAAAAACAGTGTAAAATCAAAATTTGTTTTCCATAATTATTAAAGAAAAAAAATTTTTTTTTTTTTTTTTGTCATTTTTTTAATAATTTTTTTTAATTTGTATTATTTGTATTTTTTTTTTTTTTAGATTTTAAGTTTATTTTTATATACACAGCATTAATGTATATGTAAACAAAAATTTATATTATATAACTTTATATGTATATATATATATATATATATTTAGATATATACATTTAACAAGAAAAAAAAAAGAAAAAATAATTATAATTTTCATGACAGTATACAAAAAATTACAAATACAAAAACAAATCCGTGACTCGAACCCACTCAAAAAAAAAAACAAAAAAAAAACGTAATTAACAAGAAAACAAACAAACAAAAGAAAAAATCATTTAAACTTAAAAAACAAAAATATTAAAAATAAATAACAAAAAAAAAAATAAAATTGACAACGTCAAAACGAAAGAATTTAAACCATTTTTTTTTCTCTCAAAACTCTCTGTTGTTATTAACTAAAAGAAAAAGGAAAAAAAAATATTAAATTGACGAATAATAAAATTTAAAATTAAAATTTAGAAATTAAATCATTTAAAACAGCCCAGATTATATAAATAATGTAATAATTACGAGATTAAGATTATCAAAAAAAAAAAAAAATATAATGTATTAAAAAACCAACACAAACACACACACACACAGTAAACATTCTTCATTTTATTGTACAATTTTTTAATTAAATATTTTGATTTAAAAAATTTATTATTATTATTAAACAAAAACAGATATACATATATATATATATATATATATATATATATATAAAATTATTTAAAAAAAATTTTACTAAAAAAATAACAAAAGAACAAAAAACACAAAAAAGAAAAAAAAATATCTTTTTTTGTATTCGTATTTGTAATGGTATTTGTATTTATAGATATAATATTAAAACAAAAACAAAAAAATTTAAAAAAAAAACAAAAACGAGAATTTTTCCATTTTATATATTATACCATATATATAAAAAAAAATAAATAAATAAAGTAATTAATTATATATTTAAATATAAAAAAAAGTGAAAAAAAAACAAAATTTGACCATTTTATTCTTTTGTAAAATTATTAAAAAATTTAAAATAAAAACAATGTAAAACAAAATTAAAAAAAAAATATTTGATATTATTAAAATTTCAAAAATTGAATTTCACATTCGACACCATTCGAAATCATCAGAACAACAAAAAAAAAATTCATTTTCAAATTCACAATCATTCATACAAAAAATCATAAATCATTCACAATCGCATTCAAAAATTTGAATAATTTTCAAAATAATTTCGTTATACTTATAACGTTATGTTATTAAAAAAAAAAACAAAAAATCTTAAATTATGAAACAATCATCATTCATCATCTACATACATTACTAAAAACATACCCACATAATACAACATTATATGCCAAGAAAATTGTCAAAATATGACACTTCATTAGAAAAAAAATGACACAACATCGCTTCGTCGCCATTCACGTGATTTCACGTCACTTCTCGTGTCATTCATCATTTTCTTTTCTTTTCTCTTCTGTTTTAGTTAGTATGTGACTGATGAATTAAATAAAAAAAAAATTCGAAATTTTATGTGTGAACAAAAAAAAAAATTTAAGAAAACCAAATTTTTAACCACATATAGACACACACACATACACACTCATTATAAACAAGGAAAAAAACAAGAATAACAAAAAATTCTCATACAACTTTTTTATATTTATATACTTTAAATATAAAGAAAGCAAAAACAAAAAAAAAATATTTAAAAATTTAAAGAAAATTCATAAATAAATTGAAAAAAAAAATTAGAAGAAAAAAAAGCAAAAAAATTGATTAAAAATTAATTAAAGAATTTATAGATAAAGAAAACAAAAAGGATAAACATTGAAAAAAAAACATTTCCGTTACAAAACAAAATTACATATATACATACATAATATACATATATTTGTATATACATATATAAATTTATAAACATAAGTTTAAAAAAAAAGTTAAAAAATTTAAAACATTCAAAAGAAAAAAAATATGAAAAAAAACTTTTTAAATAAAAAAAAAAAACAAACAATTTAAAATATAAATGTATTTGTAATAAGAATTTAATATTTAATTATAAAAATAAACATATTTAAAAATAAAAGAAACAGAAAAAATAAATTTTTTTCTTAATATTTGTTTTTTTTTAATTTTTGTTTTTTCTTTTTGTTTTGTTTTTCAATTGTCTTTCTTTTTTTTATTTGCTATTTTTCTTTTGCCACCATTATCATTTAAATATCAAAAATTTAAAAATTTTAAATTATTTTCAAAAATTTAATTTAATTTTAGTAAAATTTAAAATTCCGAAAAAATATCAGCATAACAGAAACAAGACAACAAAATTCAAAAATTAAAATATATCAAGAAAAGAATAAAAAATTAAAAAAAAGGAATAAGATACTGAGAGGAACAAAGAAAAAAAAAATTTAAAAATTAAATAAATAAAATAAATAAAAAATTTGATAAAATTGTATTAAGCTATTCAGGAAAACAAAACAAAAAAATATTAAAGAATAAACAAATTAACAAAACAATGAAAAAAAAAAAATAAAGAAAAATTATAAAAGAAAATTATTGTTATAAACAAAAAATGTGCTCTAAATTATAGATGTACACATATACATAATATATTAATTAAATTTAAATAGATAAAATAATTTACAAAGCAACAAAACTAAAATCAATGTCAGAAAAAGAAAAATGCAGCAGACGTCAGTTCTCTATAGCTTCAGTAATTGTCACTCTTGTAATAAATTATAAAATAGGACTAGGACCAGAAGAACAATTTTATTAAACAAGTATTTAATGAAAACTCCCATTTATTCTGAATCGAATATTAGTACTTGGAATGAGAAGAAAAATCAACTTTGATAAAATGCATATGTAGCACACGAAAAATATTTTAGTAAATAAATATTGTAGCAACAACAGAAGAACATATTAGCTCAAATAGTTTAAAATAAGATTTTCTCTTAAACTTCCAAATTTTGAGTTATGTCGAAATATTCAAATTTAATAAAAAAGAAAACAAAAAACATTCTGTGTATGTATGCGCTTAGGGCATAATAGATCCATAGCGTTTGCGATACTTTATCACCCCAGTAAATAGTCTACAATGTATGCGTGTTTATATTAGTAACTATGATATTGCAGGAGTTGAGATCAAAAACAAAGAAAGAACTGGAAACATTCAATAATTAATTAATATTAAAAAATAAATTAAAAAATTAATAAAAAAAAGAACGTTTGTATTTAATACAAAAATAAAAGATCAAGAAAATAAAATAAAAAAAAAATCTTATTACAAGGGAAAGATAAAAACAAGCAAACAATCGAAATTAAAAAGAGATCAACCAATTTTTGAATTATTTTAAATAAATTTAATTTAATTATATAAAATAAATAAATAAAAATTTATAATTTTTCTTAATTTATTTAATCATTGTTTTTTTTTTAATTGATTAAATTGAATTAAATTCAAAGAAAAATGTTAATTGAGACAAACATGAAAAATATTATTAAAAAACCGAAATTATAACAAGTTTTATTGACATAAAGACAAAAATTGACAAATTGATATTGACAAAATCTCCCTTGCAACAAAAACGTGCAAAAATAAAATTTTTTATGTGCAATTTTAATTAATACAAATTTTTTTTAATATTAATTATTTTTTTTTTTTATTTCTTAATTTTAGTTATTTTTTATATTAAATATTATAATTAAAATATTCTAGTTAATTTTTTTCTTCTTTAGTAAAATCATTAAATCGAATTGAATTACATTACACAAATTATTAAACATATATTTTTTTATATATTATATAAATATATAGATTTTAATTGAAGGGAGATGTAATATAAAAATTCAAATTATAAAACAAAAAAAAAATATATTTGTTTCCGAACAGAAATTTAATATACATCACAAATTATTCTGACATCTAAAATGCAATAAACACTCTTATAATATTAAAATGTAACTCAACAACTGGCACTTTTTTATAAGTACATTATGTATTTGTGTAGCAGAGTGAAATCGTACTATTGGAAATTGAATATAGGGAGTTATTCATTTCGATTTATTCAGCAGTACAATTTTATAGTTAATAATTCAAATTGACACGTACATTTAAATGTCATATTGCATTTAATCAAATCGATATATCGATATATTTAATAATCGAAAAATTCGAGTAAACAATACCTACCCTTTTTGTCAATAAAATTTTTTTTTTTTTGAAATTTCAATTTTTCAGTAATATTTTCTCAGTTTCTCTTTATATTTTTTGCAGTATACAACATCGCTGCAATGCATTTCTTAAATTATAATTGAAAAAATTAATTATTTTTTGTGGTTTTCGGTTTTTTTTTAATTGTATTTGAAAAATTTATTCAAAATATTTTGATTAAATAATCAAATTAATTTGCGTTTTAATTCATCCATCAAATTTATATAAAGATTAAAAAAAAAAATTCTCATAATTAATTTATTTAAAATATAAATTCCATAAATAATAAAATGTAAGTGTAATAAATTAAAAGTGTTTACAAAAATGCTCAAAAATGACTTTGCGCTGCTTTAATAATTTTTACATTTTTTTTTTGTTTGCATTTAATTATACTTGACTTGTTCTTTTACATTTTATTAAAAGTTTTTTTTTTTGTATTTTAAAATTAACAAATAAAAAAATGCTTCTTTTTAAATATTAAATGAATATATATATATATATATATATATATATAATACAAAAAAAAATTATACATAAAACAAAATTTATAATTATATACATAATTAAATAAATTAATAAATATATATATATAAATAAATATACATAAAATGCTTATATAAATAAAAAACAAAAATTAAAAAAAAATACAAAAAAAAAAAATAGAAAATATTAAAAATTATGATGAAAAATTTTTTTGCTTTTTTTTCAAAATTATTTTTACGCGCATAATGAATAAAAAACAAAAAAAAAAAAACAAAACAAAAAATCTTAATTAATAAGTTTTTTCTTTAATTAATTAAAACTTAAATCTAATTACATTTGTATATTATATAATAATATTCATATATATATATAAATATATATATATATATACATACTCATATATACATCTATAAAAACAAAAGAAAATATGCAGTTATAAAATAATTATAATAAAAATATTGAAAAGAAAAAATATTAAAATATTAAAAATAATTAAATGAAAAATTATTCAAAAAGAAAAAAAAAACCAAGTAAGATAACTATAAAAAAAAAAATTTAATTTTTTATTTCTGTCTCCCTTTCTTGATTTTCTACAAAAAAACAAAAATCTTATACAATTTTTAATTAATTAATTAATTTTTGCTTTTATTTTCATTAAGAATATTGTAATTAATATTTATACATAATAATTATATTATAATAATTTCCAATTAATAAAAACCATAATTAATGCAATTTTAATATTGAAAAAAAAAATCATTTATTTTTTTTTTCATATATTTTTTTTTTTAGTTTTATTTTTTTATTATTACATTTTTAATAAAACATTTATTTTTTATTAATTTTCAACAAAATCAATATATGATTAAAAGAAAAACAACAAAAAAATAAAAAAAAAAAATAAAAAAAAAATTATTTTTCTTTTTCGGAAAAAAAGGCAAAATAATTTTCATTTTATATTATTTTTTAAAATAAAAAAAAAAAATATTAAAAATAAAAAAAAACTTAAAAAAAATTAAAAAAAAAAAAAAACAATTTAATAAATAAAGATAATATAATAATAATAATTAATAATTAATAAAATAAATAAAAAAAAATTATATATAATAATTATAAAAAAAAAAATAATATTGTATGTAAAAATTTAAGTCTCGATTATGTTTTTGTAATATTTTTCATTATAATTATTATTAAAAAGGAAAAATTAAAAAAAAAATGGAAAATAAAAAAATCGTATGTAATTGTAATGACAACATTATAGAGAAAAACAAAAAAAAAAAAAAAAACAAACAAAAAAAGCAAAAAAAAAAAATTATCTTTGTTTTATTTTTCAAAAATTTTTATATTATTATTACAGTTATCTTTTTCTCCTCCCTTCTACTCTAAGCAAATTTAAAATTGTGAATTATAGTGAATTGAAAAAACGACTCCTTTACAAATCGATTTGATATCACTGTGTTATTCTCGAATATTTTAATATAAGTGAAAAACTACAATCTTTGACATAATCTGCCTTATCCATACTGGACGTGTCACATTTTTTTTTTGTATGTCACATATTTTTTTGATATTATACTAGACGCGAAATGTGAGATAGGAGAAGAAATTAGACTCGAAATTTTTTGGATAACTTGTTTTTATACCAACCAAAAATAAAATATGTATAGACAACTAAGTTTAACAAGAAAATGTAATTTTTTAAAAATGCATCTAGTAGACTAACATTCTGGACACTTTTTGTGACAAATAGTGAGATGCTCGCCATGTAGAATAGCAAATCGGTCACCTCATACATTTTTATGTGCAACGCATGAGTAGAACAAGGTTAATAGTCAAAATATAAAGATTATTTGCTATCT